AATTAATTAAAAAAAAAAGAAATACAGTTAGGAGCTCGGTTTAGTGAGCTTGTCTTAGAAGGACACAGAGTACCCTCAGTCTTTCTAGATGTCTCAAGTGTGGGAATCCCATTACTATCTTCTGTTTCCCAGTTCTCCTGAGTGCAATACATGAGAGGCCTTGGCTATCTGAGCTGTCTCTCCCTCAGCCCTGCTGCTGTAACTTCCTATAGCTACACACTTCACTATCTGACTGAAGTGGCCGTTCTGTGTCAAGGAACATAGCACAGGACCATTGTCAGTCCTTGGGCACACTTTCGAAGCCAGTAGCATCATATTTCATTGGAGGCATTGGTCATGTGTATGTGTGCGCCTCTCTCTTGATGCACAAATAATTAGCTACCATATAAAAGTGTTTTAGGGGCTGGAGAGATGATCGAGAACACCTACTGCTTTTCCAGAGGACCCGAGTTCAGTTCCAAGCACCCATTCTGGGCATCTCGCAATTGCCTGTTCTCCAGCTACAGGGGATCTGAATCTTCTGCCCTCCTCCGGCATCTGTACACATGTGGCATACATACACATATACATGTGTATGTACACACACAAATAAATATAAATAAATAAGTCTTTTAAAATATTTTAATGTGTCTAAGAATTCTTTTTGTTTAAGTACATCCATTGTTTGGTCAGCATCCTTGCCAATTTTGCGTTGTATACATTTTTTATTCTCATTTGAATAGGCCCAAGCAACCTGACTTTTTATGCGATTTGCTGGCACAGTGTCGGCACACCTCAGTTTTTGGCAGCCAATCCTGCCGCCATCTTTGGGGAGGCCTGCCATTATTCCTGTCCTTAATTTTATGACTTATTATTGTCATTCTGGCTCGATCCTTATTGATAATATTTCTTTCTTTACTTGAACTTAAAAAGTAAAGCCTGGCCAGTCATATATTCAACCTTTGTATGTCTCTTTTTTCCTTTTGTCTTAGCCCCAGTTCACAGCACCTCTGTAACTGCCACCTTAAGGGAAACCATCATGTTTTTGAAAGCTTGGAAGAGTCATTTACATAGAACCAGCTTTGTTCTCAGGTCCATAATGAAAGAGTTAAGATAACTAGTAGTTGGATGTGCTGTTTTAATTTTATTTTCTATTTAGCTATCTCTGTGTGTGTCTGTCTAGGCAGCCTCTTGAAACTGTAGCTGAGGGTGAGCTTGAACTTCTGACTCTCTGGCCCCCTCCTCCTAAGTGCTATGATTAAAGGTCTTTGCCACCATGCCCAACTCATGTGGTTTTAGAAATCCAACCAGGGTTTTGTGTCTGCCAGGCAAGCACTCCATCAACTGGACCACACCCCTAGCTCCTAAATTTTCTTAGGTCTTCTTGTGAGCTTATTCTAGGAATGCCTCAATCTGCTCTGACCCTCCTGCCTGAATAACTGTTCTCATGGTGACTTGCTTTCCCTGTGATTCACTGCCTAGTTCTTCCTCTTTATTTAGATTGAGATGAGGTGAAAATACAACCTTCAATTTGAGTTCACAAATTCCCCCCAAGAAGAATCAGGTAGGATTCAGTACCCTCAATAAAAGCCTTGTCTTTCCTGGGCCCCTCCTGCCCAGTGTCTATCCCCAAAGTGCCGCCACTCATATGTCCACGTTTCATGGTAGGTATATTTGGTGGAGATGAAGTATTGTGCCTAAAGAGCTCTAGACAAAAGTGTCTAAATCAAGGGAAATGTTAAACAAATTGGGGCAAGTTCTCAACATAGACTGGTGAGAAGATTTGTACGCTATTTCCTTCGCCTGGAAATGGGACAGTTGGGGCCTTGAAGGGTGTTTCCTGAGATCCTCTTTATGAGAGAGTCACAGACCTGTGTGATAACTCAATTGTTTCCTTCTTTTTCTCTTGCAGGCCCTGCAGGTGGCAAGGCAGCTTCTTCTTCAGCAGCAGCAGCAACAGCAGCAGCAGCAGCAGCAACAGCAGCAGCAGCAGCAACAGCAGCAACAAGTTAGTGGGTTAAAGTCTCCCAAGAGGAATGACAAGCAACCAGCTCTTCAGGTAACTGCTCTTTTAAAGACATTGACATGCTACCCTGTGCAATAAGTAATTCAGAGGTGGATTAAATCGAACATTGCATACCGTTTGCAGAATGTGTGTTTTCAGTTTTAGGCCTGAAGGTGACATTGTGAGGAAACTGTCTGTTTGACCAAAAGTTTTATTGTCGGGAGGAAGAATGTCTACCCATAATGCAACATGCTAGAAGAGCGAGGGTCACAAGTGCTGAGTTGTTGAATACACAGTGTAAGTTACAAGTGAGGAAAATGCTTGGAATTCCAATGTGTCATTTAGTCTCTCTGGGACTAAGAATGGGCACACGTGCACACTTAGACACATGGATACTTTAATGCAGTGATTCTTATGGAAAAGTGTTTGTGGCCAATAGTTGATTTCCATAGACATTTTTATTTCCAGATACTAATAATAATGGGGTTCATATAGGTATAGAGCAGTTTTGACCATATCCTTCCACCCTTCTTTAGCACCCCCCTTCCTAACCCCATGTAATCACTTTTCTCCCTTCGGGTTGGCTGATTTCACTTAATAGTACACCCTCCATTTCCAACCATTTTGTTGCAAGTGACAGGATACAATTCTTTATTTGGTTGAACAATACCCAGGAAATGCAGACCACCAGGAGTGGTCTAGCTGGGCTATATGGTAGTTCCAGTTTTGAGCTTTTGAGGATCCTCATACTTTTGGAGGGCCCTTTTCATAGTGACTGGACTACCTCACTTCCCCACTGATGGTATGTAAGAATTCCTTGTTCTGGAGACATTGTTGATATTCATAACCAGGGGACAAGGATGCAGAGGTGGTTCTTGTATCTTATAGGTATTGGACTAAGGATGCCACTAATCATTCTGCAATACCCATGGCACCCTAGAACAGAGCTTTATTTGGCTGTCCCAGGTATCCGTAATGTCAAGAACTTCTATTTGGCTCCAGGAGGATGTGGTAGATTGAATATCATACTCAGTAATGAGTATAATAGAATGCATGCCCTCCTTTAGTAGATGTTTGCAGAATGTTCCTGAATCATTAATTGAAAATAGGGAACAATTTTTATGTAATGATACAAAAAAAATTGTTTTAGCAACTTATCATTTCAGGCACATTGAGGCCAAGGGGTTAATGGAGTAGAAGGAGTGAGTTCATAAAATCTAATTTGGATTTTGGACATAGAATAGAAAATTGCAGTAGAAATTTCAAAGAAACTTGAGTCAGGATATTTATGCTCACATTCAAGATATGAGATAGATTTTAGGTGTCCCCCTGATTGGAGACTAACAATGGGTTTCTCACACTGCAAATTTTGGAACAATTTCTGAGCGGCAGCACATGGGTACAAGTTGGTACAATTCAATCCGATCAATGTGCGTTGACTTTTCCTGGCCTGGAATGAACTAATAGCAACTTTCAAACTATTTTACAAAGATCAGTCTAACTTTGGGCAACCTACAGGGGCCTGAGAAGTGGTTCCTCTGCCAAAAAAGTTCAACACTCTAGTGACACATTATTGGACAAGTTGAACAACAGTATGCATTGTTTATGAACTCTTCTGAAAAGAGTTGTTTGGTCAACTATGAACAACTCACATGCCTCTTAATGTTAGTGAGGGTGCCGGGAACGTTTTTAATGAGGTATAGAGCCATGGATGGCTGGTGTCAGGTGTTGTAAGAACTCCTTTGTTGTGCAGATGTCTTAAGAACAGCACTGGAGGATGAAATATGACTGTGTTGACCTTGCGGCTGTGAGCTTATTTGTCAGGATTCAAATAAGTTGAAAGGATCAAACTGAACAGTTTCCGTAGTCAGTCTGGGAATTGTGTTTCAGGGGTCAGCAGCGGAGGCCACATTGCAGATTCCATAACATAGCCAATTGTTGGTACATATTAAAGTACTGGGGCATCTCCTGCAGACAGAGACGCAATTAAAATTCTAATTTATTAATGTATACAGGGAGCTGGCCCAGCCTGTCACTCAGTGATTCAAATGCCTGTCCATTCTTTGGCCTCCTCTTGGAGCTCTCTCACAGCCTTAAAAATACCTGGAGTCCTATTGGATTTATCAGGCCTCAAGCGCATTGGGAAAATGGCAGTATAGTATTGAAGGAAAAAAACAATCCATGGTGGAGCTTCAGTTTAAAGTTTTAAGAAATATACATAGACACAATCCAATTACATTGTTATAGAATATTGAATACCATTTGTGATTTTTGAAAAATACTAGACTAATTTTCACTCATACTTGTGCGTGTGTACGTGTGTGCGTGTGTGTGTGTGTGTGTGTGTGTGTGTGTCTGTGTGTGTGTACACTTGTCTGTGAATGGTGGGAAGCCCAGAGATTGACATCAGGTGTGTTCCTCAATCTCCTTCCACCTTATTTTTTGAGACAGGGTCTCTCACTGAACCCATGTCCACCCACACAGCTATGTGTCTGGCCAGTGAGCTCCAGGAATCCACCTCTCTCCACCTCCCAGCACTAGGATTACAGATGCCTATCTCTGCACCCAGTTTTTATACAGGTGTTGGGGAACCGAACTCAGATCCTCATGCTCATGAAACAAACACTTGATCACTGAGCTGTCTCCTCACCCTCCTACTTGGCATTTTTATACCATAACACTTTTAGATAACTTCCTTCCTAAAATTAACTGAGCTTCTTTAGGGCTAGATTATGTGAAATAAAATTTCAGGGGATTTCTTTTTGAGGGCTCTATTTTTTCTGGCCTATCCTAGGATTTTAACCACCAAGCCAAAGAATTTGACATGGAGGGTGTCATGGTTTTTGGCAAGGGCAGTATCAGAGCCATACTAATAAACTCTGCTAAGCCCTTCAGTCTCTGTAGAAAAGATAAAAGTGGGCCAGTCATCAAGGCTGATGTTGCTGAAGAAGATGCCTTGAGTTTCTTCTTAGTCTCTCAGTAGTAGAGTTGACAAGCAGAGAATTTAGACTGACTTTAAGATTTGGCAGACTTGTGGAGGGGGGTGAGGAACTGACACGTGTGTGTGTGTGTCTGTCTGTCTGTCTGTCTGTCTTTGTATCCTCGCCTCTCCCAGAGTATAGGGTCATGCAAATCCAGTAGCCTTTATTAGTTTGGCTGGCCTTCCAAAAACAGAAAGGAGAAAAGAGAAATTACTGACCTCAATCACATGGTATATTTTCTCCTTATAAAAAGATGTATGTAGACTGGTGCTTCACGGAAGGAATAACCTTCACATTGAAGTCTTGTTTCGCTGTGCCTTGTCCTCTCTGGGGCGTTTCAGCCGGAGTGGCTCTGAAATGAAAGGGAAGTCCTCCTGCCAATCTGCACCGTGTTCATTTCTGATCTCCTTACCCTTTATAACTACACTCAGAGACCTATTTTAGAAGATTTCAGATCTTCTGCATAGAGGAAGACTTGACAGGGAAGAAGAATTTGATCTGCTGATAGCTATAGAGAAAAGAAAAAAAAAAAAAAAAAGGAAAGGAAAGGAAAGGAACCTAAATCTCCAAATATACTGTGGCTCATATTTTAAGCATATCTCTCACTTCCCCACTTCATATTTGGCAGCGCTCTCTAGTTTCACAGGCTGATGATACAAACAAAAGAAAATGGAAAGTTAGAGGAGACTATAAATGGTTACTCGATAGAGATCATAGACTGAAGTCAAACATCACCAGCGTGGACTAATTTCCAAGAGAGGCGAGTCAATAGGAGAGAAACAGCATGCTGCAGATACATATCTGAACCAAGCCTATTGGCTTGTAATCTTAGGAGACATCCTGCCTAATTGATGAGGAAGGCGTGAGTGGGTTATGGGTACCACTTGTGAAGTTCTTGACCGGTATTCGACTTCGCATCCTACATTGTCTTTTTAGTTACTCTATTAATTTGCCTTGCAAATTTCTTTTATGAATGATAGAAATGAAAATTGAAAATTGGCTTCATCCTCAATTCACAATCAAAGCGATCTGAATTCATTAAATGCACTTCTTTTGGTGAACATTTGAGAAGAACTACAGTATGCTTGGACGCTGGGCTGGTGCTCATAGGGACCCTAAGCTAGCGACACAGATCTTGTCTTCAAGATGTTGTGCAGTTACAAATGAATTAATTTGATATTGCTAAAAAAAAAAAAAAAAAGAGGTGGGTAAAAATAGTAGGCTCCCTTTTATAAATATTTATGCACTTTTGAGGATTGCTTAAATAAGTGAAATAAATGCTTCACAGTGCAGGTGTGCTCATAACCTCGAAAACCTACAACTTTATTAGTCGAGATTAATTTGGAAGTAGATGAACAATTTTATTGATCAGGTTTTGGAACTTTGACCACCATTTCTGGGTAGTAATTCCTTTTGGTTTTTTAAGCATTTTAGTTGTTGGCGAGAGCCCATAAACTGGAAAGAAATCAAATGACACATTTTCTCCTCCCAAAGTAAAAGTACATGCCTATTCTGGCAGAGTGACAGTCAGAGAAGAAAGCAAACCTTGTGTATTACTTCCAGGATAAAGCTGACCACAGCTTCAGACCGCCTATAAGGAATGTGAACTTGAAGCCAATCATCTGATTGTTTTCCCGCCTGCTGTCCTTTTCCTTCGAAAGTTATGTCATGTATAAGCCCTTGGCTCAGAAGGCCATTTTTTTTCCAGAAGGATCGATAGTGAAACTCACTTGAGGATCAGTTCTTGGTATATTTGGAAGCTAAGGATTATAAGGGTTCCTCCTTCAACTGGAGGAATTTAAAGTACAAAATCAAGCAGGTTTATTTGTTTTCAATTTTATTTGCAGTTATATAAGATGTGCTTTAAGCAGCACTTTTGCATTGCTTTACTGCCGCATATAATCTTAGTACCCCGAATCATTTCCATTTACTCACTAAGGAATAAATTGTTAAGAGGAAATCCTTAAAGGAAATTTTAGTTTTCTATTGTAGACAGTGAAATAGAATGGTCTTGATATACCAACCATTAACAAAAAAAGTCCTTATACATCAAATAAGGAAAGTAGGTGATTC